AAGTCTCTTTTCTAATTATAACTGCACCTTAATGCACAAGCTGTATACGACTAAGCAAGCTGTGCTGGAAAGGAAATTTGGCTGAGTTCTCCAGCCCAGGCACTCAGTAATGGATCTAAAAGTGACTATATTATTACAAAGCAATTTCAAAAGCCAGCTGGAGAGAGACGCTGCAGAACTTGGTTTCATTTGCAAGCGTGATACCTGGAATCCAGATCTGAGCAAAGACCTGAACTGGATGGGCTGCTGTTCCATACCCTAACGACCTAAAAAGCCAAGCACCGAGTACTTAGAGCCCACTCTATTAGCTTCATTTAGCATGGACACTCTCATTGACAATATTTTCCCCCTTTTCTTTCCCTCTCCACCCCCTCTCTTTCTCTGCTATTTATTTGTCCCCTGGACTCAATATTGATTTGAGGAAGTGGGTCTGGCCCACGAAAGCTCATCACCTAATAAACCATCTTGTTAGTCTTTAAAGTGCTACATAGTTCTGTCTTTTGTTTCAGCTACAGTTTTTTTTAGACTCTAAGGTGCTGAAAGGCTATTTGTTGTTTAAGTGTATTCAGTTACAGACTAACAGAGCTACTCCTCTGAAACTTTTATTTACTATTAAGCCCAGTGGAAACAATTGTTACCTGGGGGAGCCATCAGTGTGTGCAACCTCCTTTCACTGTTAAAGGGGGCTTACCTGAATGATTTATTTGGGGTTCTGATTGCATTTGGGGGTTGGTTTCCTGGATGCTGTGCCTGAAACTACATTCTCCTCAGAGCTCTGTACCTTGGCTGGGAAAGACCAGGAGATCTAACTCTGCAGGACAGGGTGGTGAGAAGCTCCAGAGAGCAAGGAGGCATGTGTCCGTAGCTTTATCAGCACTCTGGAGAGCAGCCCCAAGGGGTTTTCTGTGACCACACTGTCACACAAGGCTGTGGAATAGCACATACGCAGCTGACTTGTTATCCACATGAACTCCACATCACTGTAGAGAATCTTAACTCACAATCTTTAATATATTTATCCTCAACATCCCAGTAAGGTAGGGAAGTACTATTACCCCTATTTCACAGATAGGGAAGAACTGAATCAGAGACAGACTTGTCCAGAATTACACAGCAAGTCTGTTGCAGGGGACAGAACTTAAGCCAGGTCTCTCAAGTCTTAAGCTAATGCCCTGACCACTGGACCACACATTTATTCATATTGCACTGAGTGCTGTTCTTATCTCTAGCAAGCAAATTACAAGGTTGAATTTTTGTTTCTTCACCATTTTTTAAAGCATTAGTAGGCGGCTGTGCCCCTTGCTCGCTATGCTCGCCAATTCCTCTCTCAGGGGCTAGGCAATCCCGGGTCTCCCCCTAGCTACCAGGGAAGGCCAGGCTGCGATCGCGCCAGCCTAAGCCCTGCCCTTTATTCCTCCCTTCCTCCCCCCCCATCTCCCTTCTGTTCTGAAATTTGATTTGTCCTTTTCATATGTGTTCATTTTTTAAATTGTATCCTTTGGTATATATGGTTGTGACAATTTTCTTCCACTATTTGATCTGAGGAAGTGGGTCTGGCCAGCCTGTGAACACTGTGACGTAATGAGGTCACTGTCATCCCAAAGGAAATTTCACACACACACACACACACACACACACACACAGACACACACAGTTTTAAAAAACCTACATTAACTTTGTAAAGTAAAATAATCAAGAGTCAGGATGTTACATCAAGGTTGCCTATACAACCTCAATTCTGCTGCCTTGTTTTGCATGCATGACAGCACACTGTTTGTCTCCCCAACAAGATCCTGCATCTTTCAATACACTTTAGAAAATGATATAGGTCTATACTGCACTGGAGTAGCGGCGTCAAAATCCATACCTTATTCTCTACAGAATGCCTCAAGAATGACACCAAAATCTGCTAAAAAGAATGGACTTCCAAAAATACTACATTGGGTCCCACCCAAGTTCAGTTCTATTCATGCCTTTTCCATATCTCTGTGTCAGATGTGTTGCATGGCCTCTGACTCAGTTCTTCATCTGTACAGCTGGAGTAATACTACTTAACTTCATGACAGCATTA